CAGAATCAGAGAAAGGAGAAAGAGAGGAAGACCCCCAACGAGATGGATCAGCCAGGTGGCATCATTTATGGAGTCACGTGTGGCAGCGGTAGTGAGGTTGGCCCAGGATCGGACATTATTTCGTTCTGCTGTACATGGGGTTGCTATGAGTCGGTTCTGACTCGATGGCACCTGACAACAACAACAACAACATGAATTTGCATTGACTCAAAGGCAGTGGGTTTTGGTTTAGTTTAATAAGTACCTCTGTCTACATAGGCTCCTTGTTTTATCAATTCAAGGAAAAGTGTGAAAGGAAAGCTTTGGAACATTGATGTTTAAAATGCAGCTCTGTGTTTATTTAGCCTTGACAGTGGTTATTAGATGACAGACAATAATGTATCAGTTTATCATGACCGTTTTCCTAAAATGGCTGACTGATTGGTTCATACACTAAGACATTTTCATTTTGGTACCATACATTTTTTTGCAAATGCGTTGGCTGCATACAATAAACACTGAACTGCGAACCAACCACAAGGTCTGCAGTTTGAGCTCAACAGCCACTCTGCTGGAGAAAGAAGAGGATTTCTGCTCCCACTAAGATTTAAAGCCTCAGAAACCCTATACGGGGTCTTCTCTATGAGTTGGAACTGACTAGACAGCACTTATCAACAACAACAATAATACATTTTAAAGAATAAACTTCGTGTTTTTCTGAGCTTTCATAGTACAAAAATATTAGTTTGGGTTTCTCTTTTAATATGGACAAAAATTCAGAAATCACATTGCCTCTCTTTGCCTTTCTCTTTTAACTCAGTTATTATAAATCTTATGAGAAACTGATCCATGTAATTCCTTTTACATGGATCCATTAGTCTCTTTGCTACTATTTTATAGGTTCTCATTTCATATGTAGGGAAACCAAGGCTCTTAAGAAGCCTTAGAGAAATCAGTTACGTTATAACCCTCTTTTCTTGCTGAGCTATGCAGACTATTCAGCAAAGAGAAAGCTAACTAACTTGATTTACACATGTAAATTGTTTAACTGGCTAATTGGACAGAGTAATTGCTCAGTTCAGGCTCTGGCTATAAATTAAATGACTGCTTATTTCAATACAATTCATGTTCCCCTGAGAAGTTGCTCCTGCCTTGACAGAGAAACTAAGATCAGACGGCTGTCAGTTTGATCCATGAGCTAACTCTTTTAAGGATATTGGCCAGAGTTTGGGCTATCAGCACACTGTCAGCCTCACTTTGTGGTTTATTATTCATGAGACTCTGTCCTTCTATCCCATTGGTCTCTCTTACTGACTGACAGACTCACTAAAAGCTAATATTCTTTCATGACTTTTAATAAAAAATACCATAAAGGATATGCCTAAATTTGGAGTAAGGCATGACTGCATACTATTTAAGTTCTCATGAAGCTTTTCAGACTCTATACTTTTGTTTTCAGTAAGTATGTTTTTGTTAATTGCCATTGAGTTGATTCCAACTCATGGTGACCATGTGTATGCAGAGTAGAACTGCTCCATAGGTTGTAAGGAAACGGATTGCCTGGACCGTCTTCTGAGCTGCCTCTGGGTTCCCTTGAGCCAGGATTTCCAATGGATTCTTTGTTTTTTGACTCCTTGCTGAGAATTTGCATTTCCACCACCAATATACTAAATCAGAATTCAGTTTCATAAGCTTCCCAGGTAATCTAAAACCTTGGTTTCAGCCGCCAACTTTTCAACTAATAGTCGTGAGTACTTAGCCACTTGCGCCATCCCCAGCATATAGAACACTTACTATTACTACCATGATTGTTCTGTACCACTTGATCATTGACTGGCTGCTTATCGCCTGTTTCACAGAGTCCATTTTATTGCTTCCTCCCTTAGATTTTTATTAACAACGAGTGGCAGAACTCAGAGAGTGGGCGAGTGTTCCCTGTCTATAATCCAGCCACTGGGGAGCAGGTGTGTGAAGTTCAAGAAGCAGACAAGGTATGTCTTTTTTTAAAAAAGATTCCTATGAAATAATCAGCTCTTTATAGCAGATCACTAAACACATGCTCTCCAGACAACACCACTTACTTTCAGTTATCTTTTTCGTGAGCCCACAGTTGTGCTTCTTCTTTTCTAACAGGCAGACATAGACAAAGCAGTGCAGGCAGCCCGCCTGGCTTTCTCTCTTGGTTCAGTGTGGAGAAGAATGGATGCTTCAGAAAGAGGACGTCTTTTGGATAAGCTTGCAGACTTGGTGGAACGAGACAGGGCAGTTCTCGCAGTAAGTAGTCTAAGAAATCATTAAGGCTTTCCCACAGATATACATTCTAGATTCCTCAGTCTTTCTGAAAATATGATGTGAAGCCAACCTGGGAAAAGCTAAGGAGGACTGGGAAAATGAGAGCTTCTTAGCTGTTGGGATTAGGCAGGCGATCAGCCAAGAGTCTCGTTTCATGGAATTTTCAAGAACACAACCATAATGAGTGAAGATTTTCCTTCCTCTCCACCTCCAGCCAAACACAACAAAAACAATAAGAAATAGAAGAGTCACCAGGCTACTTGCTTTAAGACCCATACCACAGGATTCTGGTGAGCTACAAATAGGACTAGTTTTTCCCTCCTGAAAGTTCACTTCTTTGACTAATGAGACTCCTTCAGACAGAGGGCATGCTATGGACATCTTACATGCTTCTGCTCCATCGGTCCTTCGGTCACTTTCTTTCACTGAAACGGTTATTTTTTTCCCATAAGGAATGCCTCCTAGTGTCTTTGTTATTGTTTACTACAAGCCAGTTTCTTAGTGAATTACAAAGGTTTTGAAAACTGGAACAATTTAGGAATCCATCTACTGTACATCAGGCTTCTCCAGCTAGATGACCCACAATGAGTTCATATTTAGGGCTTCTTGTTCAGTTAGAGAAGGAGCCCTAGTGCACAGTGGTTAAAGCACTTGACTGCTAACCGAAAGATTAGCTGTTCAAACCCTCCAGCAAGAGAGAAAGATGTGGCCATCTGTGTCTTTAAAGATTTACAGTCTTGGAAACCCTGTGGGGCAGTTCTACTCTGTTCTGTAGGGTCACCATGAGTTGGAATCTCCAGTGAGTTGGTGTTGGGTTTTGTTCAGTCAGGACTTCTATTTATGAATACTACATAGCTTGCCCTTTACTTGGGAAAACAGATCATTATGGGGCTTGGGTCGGGGAAGGGAAGCATTAGCATCCTTCCTCAGGTTCACTCTACCATGGTTTTTCTCAGGTAAACTTGGCTGGTTTCAGTAGTTCAGAGAGACCCTTTAGGTGGTCAGTTTCTGCTATGTACAGCTTGGTTCTGTGCTAGCTGTATTCTTAACTCTTACAGAATATAATACCCGTTTCATCAACATGTAAATGTTTTCATAAGTAATGGGAAACAGTTTATATTGGTTCCCTTTAATAAAAGCGAACCAACATACAGTGCTAAGTAATGTGATCTTTTTAAATGCACTCCATCTTGTATACATGATAAGTGGATAAATTGCATTGCAAGTAATAGTATTTTCATCTTATTGAATAGAGAATATTTCCAGTTTAGTTTGTCTGCTCTCAGTTTTCACACCCAGTACATGTTACATGTTATGGAAAATAAAGTGAGCTAACAAACGCATGTTTTTGTTTGTTTCATTTGTTAAACTTGTAACACTTTTAATAATTCTATGGTGAAAATACTCTGTTTTTCATTTCATTGTGTTCATTTGTCATTCTGTGTGTTACAGACTTAACTCATTTAGAAATACGTCCTCGAAATAATGGCGTCAACAATCTAGAACTGTTGAATATCACTCTTTTCATTAAATGGACCAGTACTTTACTCTTAATAGATAATGGTTGTCAATGTAAATGTTTACAACACACCAGCCTTTAAGTTGTTAAAGTCTGAGCTTCCCTGGAGGAGTTCTTGTTTTTTTGGTGGTAATAAATAAACTAGCTGCACCATGGAGATTCCATTTCTCAGCAGGGTCTTTCTTGGCAGCTGCAAAGGACTTTTGATATTCTCATCAGTTGTATAAAGAGCCTGTGTCCTGCTCCTCTTTATAGATTCAGATTACTGATGTAGACTCCAAAACTGCCCCATTCAGCTCTGGTTATTACTCTAACAGAAGCTGGTGAGACATGTAGAGCATTCCTGTCTTGGCCATTTATATTGGTATTGTGTTTATATGTTTGGATGGTGGTTACTGGAAACACACATTCACAAGAAGGTGCATAAATATGCTCACCATGGGTTTTACTGAAAATCAAAGTAAACCGGTAGTACTAAAAACTATTTTATTTGGGAAATTAGAGTTACCCAGGTATGACAAACCTGCTGCAAAATTATTTAGTGTATCCCTAGTAAGTCCTGGAGACTTAGTTTCTCTTCCTTTCTTTTCCTACAGACTATGGAATCCCTAAATGGTGGCAAACCATTCTTGCAAGCTTTTTATGTGGATTTGCAGGGCGTCATCAAAACCCTTCGGTATTATGCAGGCTGGGCTGATAAAATCCATGGGATGACCATCCCTGTAGGTATGTGAACCTGAATAGGTGCAAAGAGAAACTTGAAGTTCCACCAGAAACACACTTCCACCACCAAACACCAAGTAGTAGTCACACAGTATACAGATCTGCTCATACTTAAAGCATTTAGAGCTGAATACGGAATGAAGCAAGTGATGTAACTAACTTCTGACATGGTCCTGTTTTCAGGGACATGTTACGTAGAAGTGTAGGGGCAAGCCACTTAAAACAGTACATCAATTTACCAATGAACAGATAAGTATTTTCATCTGCTAAGTACTTATCATTGTGCTAGGTTAGATGCTGGGGTGGAGGGTGTTGTACAGAGGGAAGTTTGGAGAAAAATCACACAAACATTAAGACTCAGTCCTTGCCTTCCTGCAAGATAAGGTCTGCTAGTTTGGAAGGAAATACTCTAAAATGTTACAGTTTGTTTCTTTTAGTGGTGAGACTGGGGAAGGTTTTAAATTGTGTGTGTGTGTGTTTTCACTATTTCTCATACTGACTGTGAATCACTTTCACCACTATTGCTTTCCTTTTTTTTGTTTTGTTTTGTTTTGTTTTTAAGATTAAGGTGCGGTGCGGAGACAAAACCAAGAACGCAAAACAATTAGGGAGGAGTCCTGGTGTGGCGCTGTGGGTGTATGCAGCCAGACTGCAAAGCTGTTTGAACTGAAAGGTTGGCAGTTCAAGCTCACCAGCTACTCCTTGGAAACCCTGTGCAGGGTCACTATGGGTTGGAATCAACTCAATGGCACTTGACAACAACAACATAACTCTGTTAAGTTGTTAAGTACCGTCGAGTCAGTTCCGACTCATAGCAACCCTGTATAAGGTTTCCAGGGAGTGGCTGATGGGTTTGAACCGCCAACCTTGCCATTAACAGTCCAGTGCTTATCCTGTAGCACCACACCAGGACTCCCAAGAGAATTATAGTTAGGTGCTGAATTGTATGGCATGGCCTGTCAGTGATGATGGTTTATGGAAGGGAGGGTTTCTAACGCTGAAGTAGTTGGTGGCGCAGTCCTGAGCTGAATTCAAGACCAGTGATGTCGAATACTGTTGAGTGCTGTAGCAACAACCCCAAGAGGAAGGGATTAACATTAGCATCCACATTTATGGAGTAGGAAACTGAGACCTAGAGAAGTTAAGTTTGTTGTTGTTGTCAGGTGCCATCGAGTCAGAACCGACTCATAGTGACCCCATGCACAGCACAACGAAAAAATGTCCAATCCTGGGCCAACCTCACTACCGATGCCACACTTGACGCCATCAATGATGCCACCTGGACAGTCCATCTCGTTAGGGGTCTTCCTCTTTTTCTCTGACCCTCCACCTTACCCAGCATGGCATCCTTCTTCAGCGACTGTTTCCTCCGGACAATATGTCCAAAGTATGAGAGACAAAGCTTAGCCATTTTGGCCTCCAAGGAGCACTCTGG